ACCAGTGGACGTTCCACAGGAGGCAATCAGACACTTAAAGCAGGTGTTTCCAATTTACACTCCAGCATGAGGAGACTGCACCAAGCTTCAGACTTCACCATCACATTACCACACAACTGTTCAAACACCATTTTTGTGTGAATTGGAGTGAAAATTGGACATGTAAGCATGACAGACCACCAAGGAACACATATCCCGCTACCATCACCAAATGTGGAGAAGGCCTTTCCGCTCGCCAAACAGTGACAGACCACCCAAACTTGCATGCAAGATCAGGTGATAAGCTGGCTCAGGGTCACAGTTTGTGAACAGTATGAAACAATGAATGAAACAATGAATGATAACAACCTACCGTAGGATGACCACAATTCTAACACATTCTGTGATCATCTAAGGCAGTTGTGGAAGACAATTGTGCTTTACTGCAAGAGATGCCAAGAGAGATACAGTAATTGGTGCTCTAACTTTTCTTTGTATTCTGCTGTGTGTCCACACTTGCACTCTGTTATGGACTAGAGTCCAGGATGTAATCATGCCTCGTACCTGAGGCTTCTTGGATAGGCTCGTGGTCGCCACCACCCTTACTATGAATATGTTTATTTCTGGTAAAAGATGCTTGGTCTTAGAGAAAAAGAAACATGTGTTATGCCATGATCTAGGGTCCTTTCTCAAGGTCACTGAGGACACTCCAGGGCTCTTTGGACCCCAAGAACATTTGTTATCCAGTAGCACTTCTGCCTTTAAGCACCTCCCCCTTGTAATTTTCCAGAAAATGCTTAGAGCAGGAGTCATTTGAAAGAGCTTTTTTTTTTTTCAAATTTTCAAAAGAAGCTTAGAGGTGCACCTGGAGAAAGACTAACTTATTTCCTTTTCAGACATTCAAACTTAGATTTTGAACATGGAAGAGTAATAAAATATGATAAGCAAAACATTGAAACTTTGACAGCACTAATTCTTCCTTGAGGTATGCAATATGGTGTGAAAGTTTGTGTTACTTTCAATTTTAAGGGTATTTTCATCTTCAGAAAATGTATACAGTATATGTATCATTTTACTGTGTTTTTAAGAATTGTAGTCAATGCCAAAAAATGAAATGCTTATAAAAAGTTTTATTATATTTGAAATTGCCTGTTATTTGCAGACATTTTTGTTTAAAAGCTTCTTTAAAACCATTTACTTCAGCTAAGTACTTTACATCGCTGGCTGATTAAATAAATTATAATCTTTGTACTATTCCTTTTACAGATGAACACATTAGATTGGCAGTCCGTGCATACCGTTATACTTTAATCAGCACAGGCGGCACCTTTTAAAATGGCATAACTGCAAATAATGAAGTAAAATAGAAAATAAAAACTGCATTTTGATGTGTTTACATCTATGGAGCACCATATCAGGACCATGCAGCAATTAACCAGCAAAATCAATTTAGTAAAGATTTACTAATGCAATTTCCATTAGATGTTATTTGTTTTCCAGACAACTATCCTTTTATGTCTCAAAGTGTCAAGGGCCTAAAAGGTAAGTCTAGAACATGGTGGCCCAGGATGATTAAGGCAATACAAGGTTCTATCCCAGGGTGAGAATGAGTTAATGAGTCACACATGTTGGAAGATGATATAATAGGATGTGATAGTCCCCCTGTGTATCTTATGAGCCATGGGTTTGTCCTTGGAGTATTACATGTTTGAACTCATTATACCATAATGCAGATTTCCACTATTTCAATGTCTTATTTGGAGAATATAGAATGTTCCATGTAGACTTCCTAATTTATTGGCACTCCTTCAAGTGTTCTATTTTGCGAGCTTTGTTAAAATTAACAAAATGCTTTTCCCCCCACATTTTGTGCTAAACTCCTAATGGGCATGAGCAAATTAGCTCATTTCTATTTAGCTGCGAGGTATCCAATAGTTTCTATAAGGAATATTGTTTTAATTAAAAGTGAGTGTATGCAGTATTTCTGCCCAAATTTAGAAACTGTTTGCACCTCCCTCTAATATAAATAATCTATTTAAGGACCTGAGAAAATCTCATTCTTAACTTCATAATTAGTCAAGAAACTAGCAATGCAATTCAGGTCTGAAATATCCAGGAAATCTCATTGGGTTCTATTAAATCCTACTCCGTTGGGCCCCTGAGCAAGCCCCTTAGCCCCAACTGCTCGAGGGGCGCTGTATAAATAGCTGACCCTGCACTCTGACCCCAAGGTTTTCTCTCCCCACCTGTGTGTCTCATGGAAAGCAAGCTGGGGTATGCGAAAAGACAAATTCCTAATGCAAGAAATTGTATATGGCCAATAAAGTGATCTTATCTTATCTATTCAGAAATAATCAGGCTATAGGATATGAAGTAACTTTATCCTGCATTTTGCTGTGATGTTTATGTTCACACTATAACAAATCCCACTCAGACTAAATACTTATAGAAATAGTACTCTGTAGTCAGGAAAAGAACCATAACAAAGTTTCATTGTACTGTACCTATCCATTTCTAATTGAGGGTTCATACGTTTGTGTTAATATTGCTAACCAGAGGTTAAGTTCCAAAACTAAGTAATTTTGCTTCCTTATCCAGGAAAAATAATACAGATGCCTTTCTTGGAATAGGGTTCTAATCAGCCAGCCATATAACTTTGCAACTCACAACTGGCAAACCACTGAAGCTAAGCAGGCGTGAGCCTGGTCAGTACCTGGATGGGAGACCTCCTGGAAAAATCTAAGGTTGCTGCTGGAAGAGGTGTTAATGGGGCCATCAGGGGGCGCTCAACCTGCGGTCTATGTGGGTCCTAATGCCCCAGTATAGTGACAGGGACACTATACTGTAAAACCAAGGTCCTGACTCTCTGTGGTCATTAAAAATTCCATGGCATTCTTGAAAACAATAGGGGTGTAACGCCGGCTTCCTGGCCAAATTTCCCATTGACCCTTACCAATCATGGCCTCCTAATTATCCCCATCTATGAATTGGCTTCATTACTGATAGCTGATGTGTGGTGAGTGTTCTGGTGCACTATGGCTGCCGTCGCATCATCCAGGTGGATGCTGCACATTAGTGGTGGTGGAGGGGTGTCCCCATTACCTGTAAAACGCGTTGAGTGGAGTGTCCAGAAAAGCGCTATATAAGTGTAAGCAATTATTAATTATTATATTATTAATTATTTAGTGTTTTGTTATTTGCCTCTTCTGTTGTGTTTAGACCTCAATTTATTGAGGTTTACTTTTACCTCAATAAATTAGCACTGCAGACTAGCCCTTTAATGTTGTAGTTTGAACAGACATACTGTAACGAACAGTTCTTTCTGGACCCTATGCGGACGACACAATCCGAAGAAGTGGGGAAACGTCATGCAGGAATACGGGGCTGAAAACAGGGGGGCGTGTCCAAGGTGCGCTGGAGTGCACCTCTGTTGTTTGCAGGTGATGTTGTCCTCTGTGCCTCCGGTACAAACTGGAGAGGTTCACAGCGGAGTGTGACGCTGTCAGGATGAGGCTCAGCACTTCCAAATCTGAAGTCATGCTTCCCTCATAGAAAAGGGTGGATTGCTCTTTTCAGGTGAAGGGGGAACAGCTATACCTCAAGGTCTTGTTCACGAGTGAGAGTACAGGGGATCATGAGACTGACAAGCAGATTGGTGCTGCAGATATAGAGCAGTACAGGTGATAGATGAACTTGAATCCCACAAAGTCAACCAACAACTTCATCTGAGTGGATACACTGCAACCCCTATTTGTAGAACATTCAAAGTCTTCTTGTAGTTTCAGTATGGTAGAAAATACCTGCTTTCTCTATGTGGATTTGGTGAATTATTGTCCGTCCTGTATACTGTACAGTATCTCTGTGCCATCTCTGTGTTTCTGCTGTTAGGATCTGTCAGCTTGTGGCTCATTGAACCCAAAAGGAACAGTACATTTGGAGCTCCCAGAAAAAAAAACAACCAATATAAAAACTGGTGTTTCTAGACCAATTATATATCTTTTTATATTAAGACAACCCTTTTTCAGGAGCAACCTTACTCTTGGAAAATAATACTTAAAAAATAACATCTCTTGCAAGCATGTCCAGAAGTCACAAATACTGATTGTTAGCATCTCAGTCAACATATTTGTATAGCAGGTAAGCCTGATTAATAAGGAAAATGCCAAGTCACTGATGTGGCATAGCTTTTTGATTCTTAACACTAGCATTACTATTTGTAAATCCTCCCAGGATGTGAATACTAATTTCTGTAGCACAACATACTGTAAGCCTAGAAGCTGAATAAACAAGTATTCATATTTTAATTAATTCACTCTACATTTTAGGTCATAGAATAAAGTCAAAGAATTTAGCAGTGGCATGATCAGCAATTAAGTACAGTATAAATCATCACTATTAATGAACAACTAATGGAGGGTTCCAATATTTGTGACTGCAAATTTCTGATATATATACAGTATATACCAGTACAAAATAAACCTAGTGATGATCACAGTTGCTTTGGTAGCTTCTATTTTAAGTATTTTATTGTCTTATTTAAATTTTTAAATACATCTTCTTTATTTATAAGTGCTAAGTAGTAGCGGGGTTTACATTATTACTGAGAAGAAGTCATTACTTTGATGTTTTGCTAATCTGTGCCAGGAAATGCACTGCTATGCTGTTCTGCTTAGAGGATCTGCTAATGCAAATCACACGATTAATATTAAAGGCATGAAAACAAACATGAGTTATAATTAAACACAAAGCTAAAGCTTATTAGGTTACAATTTAGGAGTGTATACAAACATATATTTGGGTCTATATGATAAGGCAGTAGTGTAGACTAGTGAGTTGGGCTCTAGACTCATGACTGGCTGGTTGAGGGATTAAAGTACAGGTGGAACACTGGTTTGTACCCTAATGCAGAATATTTCACTCCGATTATTTCAATATATTGCTCAACTGATGGGTTATACATGTAAATTGCTTTGGATAAATGTATCCTGATAAACAGTAAATGATACAAACACAGATTTGTGTTAATGCTAAATGAGGAAAGGTTCATTTTATTTGTTGCAGTTTCTTTTATTTTTTTAAACAAGGGTTTGTTTTCTTGCAAGGTTTTTTAAAGCACTGCTTTAGAAGCAGCTGGCCCTGCCTTATACTGTACTGTAAGTCTTCCTCATACAGTAAGTCAGCCATAAATCACCTTTAGAGAGAAAAATGTGTGAAATGAACACACTATGTCACAAACTTGTCATTGTGGAGAAAAGCTTCCATTGAGTGCTGGACCAGGCTTGATACGGTATGTCAATGTATAAACTTTACCATTCATTTGCTTTATAAAATCAAACCTCGTGAGCAACTATCAACTTGGTGTTTCCTGTTATAAAACATCTAACTTTAAAGATGTTTCGTTACTTCTGTGAACAACATGATCCACAGTAGCTTCAAAACATTTCTGCTACCTGGAGGTATTTTCAGAATCCAGAAACATGATGCTCATCTGGTTTCTCCTCTCTGCTGGAGGGCTTGTCCCCATTGAAGACAACAAAATTAAAAATAGTAAGTCTCGGCTTCTGTGGCTCCACCTGCTTAAGTTCACTGGAAGGTGTTGTAAGGTTTTCTTTAGACTGTGAATACCAAAAAGAAATTAATTGTCAAACAGACTATAAAAACTAAGGATCATTTTTAGGAGATGGGATGAACAATCAAGGTCACAATACTGTATGTATTACAACACACAATATTATATCATGTTGTACTATGACAAATCAATCACAACACTGATAGAAGACTCAGTTCTGCTTCATTGAAATGCATAAATGTGTTTTTTGAATGTGTCCTAGAATTAATTTCAAAATCTATTACTTTGATTACCACAACATACTGTAATACATCACTTAAACCTGACTTTCAGGAAAAAACAAAATGCCAACAAGAGTTCCTGGAATATCGGAGTTAACTTAATTAACTGATTGAACATATTTCTGGAAAATAAAAAAATACTGAATAAGTAAGATACATAAACAACTGTCAGGATCTCCGCAGTTCCACAATATGGAACCAGAAGGGCTCAGGTGAGATACAAGAGGGTATTTCTTTCTACTGTATAAAGGAGTGAATGAGCTATTGAAAATGTAGTTCTCTATTTTTTATAATGACAGGTCAGAAACATTCTCACTATATAGATTTAATAGAGTGCAACTCACTGTAAAGAGACATTGTTTTTAGGAATTTGGTATAAGTAAAAATAAACAATAATCATTCAAACACTGGTTAACTGTTACCCAATTTAAATGCAAGTACAGCATATCCAGTTCTAGCCAGAATTTAATTTAGTAAAAGTATATTACTTATGTTAATCTGGTTCAATACCATTTAAACACTGTTTATAAAGATGTGGCAGAAGAATTTTTATGAAAGAGGAGACCAACAACAGCATTGTGATTATCAACCATATGGCACACAATGTGCTCCTACTGTAGAGCATAAAATATGCTTTCCAAAAACTCACTTGTACAGTATAGAACTTTTAACTTGCATATTCAGCCTTGTGAATACAGTATGTAAAAACAGAGGACTTTATACAGACTTTCTTCCACATACTGTATGAAGTAATTTGTTGCTCCTAAAGAAAACATTCTAATGACTTTGTAAGGATAAGGTGAGAGCTGAAGGCTGAAGGTTGAAAATAATGAACACTGACCTCTAGAATATCTTGAAAGGTACAACTTCTAAATGACATACTGTATCACATTAAATTACATGGAAAGACTTTAAAAAATATCTTGCCTGATAAAGGCAATACAGCCAAATAAAGGTATTGTCTACCTTTATGCTATCAACAGTTCAGTGTTCTCAATTAACATGGTATAGTATACTGTATGATTTCATTTAGAGGACATCGACACTTTCCTTTTTTCTCTTGTCACTTGTTTGTTGAACCAGTATTATCCATACAAAAGATGATTAGTAAACCAAGAGCATACAAAAGAAAACCTACCTTTGAAAAATACGTGGCATACAAGATGAATATGGGGATGCATATCATTGAAGACAATGTCAGAAGCACTATCAAAGTTTTTCCCCACCAAGGATAAGGTGTTGAACCAAACCCTGTATTCTCCAACAGGTCAAATGCTAAAGTGGACTGTCAGAAAACAAAAAATATCATCAATCTCTTGTAGAACTGTTTCTATTTCACGTCATAAGAACTTTTTAAACTAATGAAATACAACAAGACGCTGGAAAATCTTCTTAATGATGTTTCTAATTTAATACTAGAATAAATGTCTCATGTACATGTGTAGCATTTGTTAAAACTATTACCAAACAAAACTAGCAAAACTAGAATGGTATCATGTGAATTCAGATTAGTTTTTTTTCTTCGAAAATACAGGAAATCAAGATTATAGGATAAAACATTAACTGTCAGGACGATTGTGTGTCTCACTCAGGCTTAAATAACCAGGTATTTAAACTCAAAATGTGAAAACATCTTGGAATCTGTTTTGTCAATCAGTTCTGTTGACTTCACTAAGTACTGTAGATCATGCCAACATTAAAAAACATTTTGCTTTGAATGTGAGTACAAAAGATAATAATTATTTATAGGGCAATTGTTTCCAGTTCAGATGAATGCAACTGAAGAGTAAATGCCCCATTATTAATAGTCCAAATGGAACAATAAAGTGAATTCTTTAACTCTATCTTATTGTATATCTGTTTGATAGTATAAAACGTTAAATTCTTTACCAAGATACTGTATATACTGTAAATGGTTGTCATATTTGAATTTGAACCACCAGGGTTTAAATGAAAGTAATATTGCAGTTTTTGGGTTATGACAATCATAATATATGTCATACAATACTAAGAAAAAGTTTCTGAACCCACAACATTCAGTAAACTTGGTTTAATCAAAAGTCTTAAAATGTATTTTTATATTTTCAGTACAGGCTTATAAAAACCAATTTAATGTTTTTGAAACACAATGGTGTATGAAGCAGAAAAAATGAATAACTCAGATCAGTGTATGTCAAATAATATTTGAACCTCTAAATTACTAATTTTCTGCACTAATTAAGCATGTCATGCCACAGTCAAATGTGATTAAAAAAAAACATTGTAGTTCATTCTCATTAGTCTGGAGAGGGTTACAGAACCATTTTTAAACATTTAGGGCTCCATCCAACCACTCTCAGAAAGAGGGAATATTTTCAAGAATATCCCCATGACAACAATGACTCTAAACAGGACTCATCATCCTTAAAAAGCAACCAGGGAAATCATAAAGGAAATCAAAAAGAATCAGACAGTAACATCTACTGTATGGATCTGCAGGTCTTTCTCAAAACAGCTAATGTCAATGTTTGTGCTTCAGCCATGAGTAAAAGACTGAAGAGAGTACTGTAGTTTTCAAAAGAGAATAGCCAAGAAGAAACCATTACTCTCTACAAAGAACACTGCCATCTGTCTCAAGTTCACCAACAAACACCTGCATCTACAAAAATAGTGGAAGAATGTTCTCAGGATAGACATGCCAAATGCTATCTATTTGTCAGCTGAAAGTAGGTAATGCAGCAAACTAATAATCCTGAACAAACAAGGCAGATCTACAACTAAATGGCTTAAAAAGAAAACATTTCCATTTTGGATTGGACAAGTCGTAGCCTAAACCCTACTGAGAAGTTATGGCAGGAACTGAAGCAAGCATTTCATGCAAGGAAAAACCTAAATGTCATTGTGGTTGAGGCCCAAACTCTGGGACTCTTTAAGATCCAACTGGATGAAACTTTAGATTTACTTAGTAACTAAACTGTCAAATAGTTTGTAATACAGTATAATCTTACTTATGTTCCTTGTGACAATTTATCACCATTACTCAATAAATAGTCATGTATTTATCAAGCGGAAAAAATAAGCCTAAAGACTTCTATAAACAGCATGAATTCATTTACCTTTACAAAAGCAATTTGAGCCACACTTGATAAAGTCAGTGATTCTTAGTCAACACCTTTTTCAGGTATACAGATTATATGGCATGCATAACATCCTTTTCTTCACTGTAACTGTGTTGTATCAACTAATAGTAAAAAACAAAAACTTTAATAAAAAAGGCAACAAAGTGGAGCACTCACAACACAGATAATCGGGGTAATAAACAGCCAGCAGTACTTTATCACAGGGAACGGGCGAAACCCAATCATGTCCCTAATGTTGTCGTAGAAACGATCTGCACCTGTAGAACAGTTAGAAAAGGTTTTTGTTTTATGTTAAATCAAAAGATTTAATATGTATGACAAACATTTGCCTTACCAGGAATAGGTGGTTTTCTGAAAGTGGACAGATGTACACAAAATATTATCTAGGAACCCAGGTGGCTAAACATCAATTTATTCATTTCTTGTGCAGCCACTGTGGGAGCTTTGTTTCAAGAAGCCATTTTTCATATTTTTATATTCAGGGAGCAGTTTTTGCAGGACAGACTAACATTGGCAAGCAATCAAATTTAAACAATATTAAATTCCTGATTTTTAAAGTTTTTGAAGCATAGAAAAGTCATCAGTGGAAGTAATGTTTTACAGTATTTGCATTGCACCAATATCCAGATACTAATCGTAAGCCATTATTACATACTAGTTGTACTAATCGATTATTAGACAAACTATGGAGAAGAGAGAAAATAAAGTACAGTAATCCCTCTTCATGCAAACTTACTTTGTTCCTTGAAAACTTCTTTAAAGGTGAAAACTCATATAAATGAAATTAAATTTCCATTAACACTTCCCGTGTTATCATCTCTGATTGGTTCCGCAACTCAATAATATTCTCTGACACACACACACACTTCACCTTATTAAAGCACAGTATGGTACCTACAGTATTGTGATCTTGCACTAGGCATTTCATAACAAGATCTTTAAAGTAGGTGGGTCAAGGAAAACAGACACACCAAAACACAGTCGTGGGTTAAAAACAGTGCTCTTTTATTTATAGTGCAGGGCACCCATCACAAAAAAGAAACACCAAACAAAAGCTTAAGGTATGAGCCTGGTCAGTACCTGGATGGGAGACCTCCTGGGAAAAACTAAGGTTGCTGCTGGAAGAGGTGTTAGTGGGGCCAGCAGGGGGCGCTCACCCTGTGGTCCACGTGGGTCCTAATGCCCAAGTATAGTGATGGGGACACTATACTGTAAACAGGTGCCGTCCTTCGGATGAGACATAAAACCAAGGTCCTGACTCTCTGTGGTCATTAAATATCCCAGGGCATTTCTCGAAAAGGTAGGGGTGTAACCCCGGCGTCCTGGACAAATTTCCCATTGGCCTTTACCAATCATGGCCTCCTAATAATCCCCATCTATGAATTGGCTTCATTACTCTCTACTCTCCTCCCCACTAATAGCTGCTGTGTGGTGAGCGTTCTGGCGCACTATGGGTGCCTCCACTTCCTGGTTTTGAAAATGGCACTTGAACAATTGTCTTCATGGAACTGAGAGCACCAGCTCATTCCCCCAGAGGTTTCTGAAGAAAGTGGTCAGGACACAGCTGCGCATGAAAGCAATAATATTCCTGGGTAATAATTTGAGAAACATGCTTAAAGTGATTAATCAAATGCATAAACAATAGGTAGGAAAACAATAACACTCCTGCTCACTTAAGGTATACTACAGTACTTACTGTGCATCTTTATAATTGTTAGCAAATGCATACATATTAGGTACCATCCTATGCTACTGTATATGCACATAACACACACAAGCATTTATTGTAAAAAGGTAATAAAAATAAACAATAAATTCTTCTTCTGAGGAGAAGCAAGAAAATAATAAGGAGGCAATGCTTTATGAGATTCCAATTCATAAATCTGAAACTCTGGTCGTTAAATATAGATAGAAAATACTATATCTCCCATAAACAAAAACTCACTTTGAGGTTGTTTGCATAGCAAGAGATTTCAATGTGTATTTTTTATCACTTATGCTGAATTACGGTGAGGGTCTGACAATATCAACCGGAAATTTGCAGAAGTGATGTGCTATCGTCAGAAAAGCCGAAAGATTAAATTCTTTTGTTAATAGTTATCCAAATGTTTTGGATGCAACAGTTATGCCCTTATTAGAAAATTGTGAAATAGAGGTGAATCAAGTTGTATATTCCATTTGAAATGATCTAACATAAAAAAAACCCATAAAGGGTTTTCAGGTAGAATTTACATTCAGTTGTTGTGAAGACTCTAATCAATGTGAATTAAAAATTATCTGGCAAATCTTGATTTCACCCAATCTAAGCTGTATTATTAACAACCATGGTTATTTATATCTGAAACACTGAATGAGACTTTGCGTAAATTATTAATGTTCAAAACAACATTATATTTTGTAAATTCAGTTTATCTCTAAGGGACTTATGACTACTTCACAGCAACATACTATATAACCAGACATTAATCACTGACCTCCCATTTCTATGTAATTTTACAGACATCCAAATCTTACTTTTATGAGTTATTCATTTAAATAAATATAAAACAAATGTGCAAGTACTAAACTTAAATAATGACACTGTGAGAATGGCCTGGTTAGGGAAAGTGGCATGGTCCAGTTAGTTTAGCTTGCTATGCTTTTACATGGTGCAGGACACCTGTACTACCTGGTTGGGAACTGAAGTGATTTTCTTTTTTGTTGCTAATACTGTATCAGCCATCCAAATGCCAATAAATCACAGCACAAACTGAATTCTATATTCAAAGAATATAAATATATACACAAATATATGGTACAAACAGCACATTACTGACACTTCCTTTTCAAAAGATAGCAGTACATGTATAGTCAGAAAACTGCTAGCAGGTTTATTTGCTTTATATCAAACATGCTATGACTAGGGCAATACAGTTGTGTAGCAGTTAGACGTATTCTCACATCCCTTGGGTCCTGGGCTCCTTTCTGGAGTGAGGCATCTTCTGGGTGAAGTTAGAATGTTTTCCTCATGCAATATGCAAGTGGGTTTCTGGCATTCAGCTGAAGTCTGAGGTTACTAGCCCTCAGAAAAAGAAACAAATCTATCACTGAATTTGTGCTGTGTACAGAGCAAATTATATCACCTTCAACTTAAGGAAATAACCATGAACAAACTCTGTTTGATTCCTACCCTCACATATATATGGAAATTAAGAAAAAGGCTATCGACTACGGATGCCACATGTTTGTTGAAAAAACAGTTTTTAGTGTAGCATTTTTATATCCACATAGCACACTTTACCATTACATTCCCACATAATTTCAATGTGTTTGTCTTTGCCATTTGTCTGCCTGCTTAACCAGCTCAGACTTGTTCACCATAGAGTGGCATTATTTGTTACGATTATTTTTTATGAGAAAATATCAATTCCTTATTTTCTCATCTTCCCTACAGTGAGGTATCTGCAAAAGAAATCTGCAGGTGTTTTTGTTCTGGTGTAAAATGTAATTCCATGAGTGACAATTAAAATCAGAAGAAAGGATTGCTGTCATAAAATAAGTATTTTTGCTTAAAAAATCTTCTAGAAACCATAATAGAAAATCTATGTGTAGGGGGTCTCTCATATCTGGACCTGGGTCATATGAATATCAAACTGTGAGCAGGATTCTCCAAGTGGCAGCACACAATTGTCTGAGTGCTGCCAGAGGGAGCGTGGGATTAGTGGTTCATTGCCTCTCTTCCATCCATGATATCTTTTTTTTACAGGAAAAAAAAAAGATAAGTTCATGAAAAAAACATTATGTTAGAATGTAAGATAAAGCTTTACCGTAGATCCACCCCACACAGATGGTTTCAAAACAAGCAATGAACAGCAGACTCTTCCCACTTGGACCATACGAGTCAATCAACTGGAAGATGTAAATTCCTCCCTGATTGAAACAAGATGACAACAAGTCAAAATGAATCTTTAAGGAAAAGTTCACAAATCTGCCTCTGGTCATGGCTCTTGTTTCTTCAGTTACAGTACATCATACTCCACATTATCTGACCAATGTGAGATGTACAGAAATACTTTAGAACAGCAGTTCACAACCTTTTTTAACCAAGGAGCACTCACTAAGGTCTCCTTCCTTAGGGTCCATAGTTAACAAAAACAACTTCATCGTTAACCTTACTTAAGGACAGGTCTGCATTGCTCCAGGTTTTGGTGTCTGTCCATAGAAATGGGGGCTGAGAAACATAGCTTTAAGATAGACATTTTTCTTTGTCCAAATATACCATATCAGTGGGTCCTGTGATGTTTTTAAAGCATTGGCTATGGCGGCTCATGCTATGATGCATCACGAGGCTACAGTGAGGACCTGTTTCCTTACCTCTGTGACAAGCAGAAGGCCAAGCAAGAAGCACACCACAGCAATGAGAAGGATAAGAATCTCCCGACGTCCCTTTCTGCGGAGGACCCGGGGGTGCATGTCAATGATGGCAGTGGCTAGGCTCTCCACGCAGACAAACTGCACACGGGCACAATAACAGCATGAAGATAGCCTGCCAAACAGTACGAACACTATGCCAGTCTCCTTACAGTGCAATAAACTAAGCAGAATACATGGTGAGGAGAAGGCATTTTAAATCTCATCTATGAAGAGCAGTCCACTAAAGTTAAGATATTTATTAGGAAAAAAAACATTTTATATTGTTACAAGAATGTGATTTTTCATTTGCTTAAGTGCTGCAAATGTTGGATTCGTTTGCATTTAATTTATGTTATGGGTTTTGTAGCAAAACTATTATAACTGCATTAGAATTGCAATTTTATGTTGGTACAGTATACACTGTAGCTTGAATGTTATATCTCTATATAGTGTTCTTTATATAGACATGAAACCAAATGATCAGAGAAAAAATGTTGAAACCAAAACTTCCATGTTTTTCAACTATGCTAACTTAACTCAAAGAAGGAACAAATGACCCCCTATCCAGTTCTAATTACTACTTTTCAACATTTTACATACTCACCTGACTGTCAAGACCCAAGAATATGATCATGAGGAAGAAAAGCACAGCCCAAAGCTGAGAAAAAGGCAGCATGGTCACTGCTTTCGGATAGGCTATAAAGGCCAGCCCTGGACCTGAATGAGAAGAGAGCAATGCTTTTATTTCATTCACAAATACGAGATAAACAATACCTTCGGCTGTACTATTGTATTGCTCAGTGATGTAACCTGATTAATGACTGAATTTTACATTATTCTATATCCCTGGATCTCTTAAATATTTTACCAGTAGGAATGGGTTACATTCTACCCTAATTGGAGTATGGTATGTCTAAAAATGTATAAAAATTTCACTCAAACAGCACCTCTGTCACACTGCATGCTGGGATCTTTCTAGAAAACCTAAAGCACAAGAGGACAACTTTGTAGTGCGGTGGTAACATTTCTTTTTCAGGGACACATAGTTAAGGAATAATCTAATGTTTCTTTTCAGTTTCACAACATTCAGCTTATAAAAGAATGAAAAGGTGTCAGTTGAAGTGCACACAGTTGGGTCTAGAATATTGGAAGAGTGTGTATATTGTACATCTTGCACTAATAATACGCTGTTTAAGAAACGCTTTGCTAAACATAATTTAATTTGTTGTATTGCTTTATTTTGAATGCATGGATCCAAGAAATGAGCTACTGTCATGGAAAGAACTTACCTGATTGGACAATCTCATCAATCGGCACACCTTGCTCATAAGCCATGAAACCCAGTACAGAGAAAACAGCAAAACCGGCAAATATACTAGTTCCACTGTTGAGGAGGCAGAGGGCCAGGCAGTCTCTGCAGGAAAGGAACATGTGGTACAAACGTAACCCCCAAGAAGAGGAATAGGGTCTAACTCACTGATAATTACTCCTAGTCCTAGACAGTAACCATGTCTTCTGGTTTTCATTACAGCATGGACACTCAATCACTTGATTTGAATCAGCTGTGTACCTAATTGGTCTATATTGCCACAGTTTAATGTCTTTACTGATTGAGGAGTATAAGTTAACAATAAAACTTTGTGGGCTGCAGCCCTCCAGGACCTGGAGCTAATATCACTGGTCTCATCAGACCCTATAAAAAGTAGAGGCATGCTTCAAATATATATATACAGTATATCTCCAAGTCTCCTTTTGTGGCTGAACTACATTATTAGTACAAATGATGTTCAATAGCTTGTTTTTAAGATTCTAGACAATAGAATAATATTGAGACCTTAAATCTGAACCGGGTCTCATCAGCCATAGAGATATACATTAAAGCTACTTTAGTTGACATGATGGTATCAATATTTTTAACTCTATTAAATAAATTACAGCTAACAGGGGCGAGATATACTGTAGATTTATAGCAATAGTATTTTTCTGAAATGGATTAGTTTTATTTGATTTGTTCAGAGGTCTTGAGCTTTCTTTCTTTGGAAATCACTGAAATTCTGCAGTGTACTGTATATGCAATGACTGTGCCCTCCAAAATATCAAAGCAAAGTCAGAGCAAAGTCAAAGCTGTAATTTGTTGCTTATAGTTAGGAACTGTACAGTTATTTTATTTATTTTTTTTTATTATGAGATTAATATAAATGACAAATAAAACAGAATACATATTGTATTTTGGCTATTTCCCATGCATACAGTACAGTATATTGTAACAGAGACATAAATCCTGGCATAAATCCAAACAATTATATTTTAAATTAATACTTTTAGTTATATTTTAGTTACTTTTACTTATACACATTATTTTACCTGCCTACCTGTAGCAGTTGTTATTATACTTGTTGTAGCTTCCAAGGGCTGTCAGAACCCCTTGGCACACAGCATAGGAGAAAAACACTTGTGTCCCAGCATCTCGCCACACCTTAGAAGACAACCGTTTTCATATAGAATGAACTGATGAACAGGAAATTTCAGTTTGCCATTGTGAATTGGTCTCTTGAGAATTTTCTCCATTGCTGATGTTTACAGATACTGTAAGTTTGCAGTTAGTTCCACTGGAGCTACAGTAGCTGCAAAATGACTCTCTGTACAGACCTATGGACATTTAATTCTTTTAAAATGTAAAGTGTTAATGAAAATCCTATGTATTCAATCTTAATCTATCTAGTTTTACTGAGTTTGAGCAATTTTACTTGTGAGTACTTACAAAATTACAATGGACATTTGAGGATTTATTCTGGACAAACTGAAGGCCTAATTTTTACAAGAAACTGTTTTTGTTCTTTGTTTTCTGATTTTGTGCGTTTCTGGTTTTGTCTTTTCCTTTTTGTAGAATTACAAAGATCAAAGAGAACTATCACCTGTTTTACCCAGTACATGAGGTTAAATTTCTGTGCTACGAAGTTTACTGTACTGTACAGTATGTGCTTTGGCTCAAGTCACTTGCTGCTGCTTGCAGATTAACGGTACAACATCCAAATCCATCACCCCTTCTGAAAGGCACACTGTGCTTTGCATAAGTGTTTAGATCCTTGCTATGGTGTTCCATTTGTGAAAATACAAATGATGTAAATTATACAATTGTGTAACTTAATATTGTATTCAAAACCTACATGCTCAAACGTGAGACTTCTAAGGGTAACATAAAAGTAAATGGTAAATCTCAGAAAAAATAATTGAATATATTTATTGCAAAAGTAGTAAGACCCATGAACTCAATGTTTGGTGGAAGTATTGGCAACAGTAACAGCTGCAAGTCTTTTAGGGTTACGTCTCTACTAACTGCACAAAGGCTTGATGCAATTTTTGACCATTCTTCTTTGTATATTTGCTCAGGCTCCTTCAAGCTGGTTGGGGAACAGCTATTTTCAATTCTTGCTATACTTTCTCAGTAGGATTCAAGTCAGGACTATAACTATTCAAGGACATTGACTATTTTATTCTTAAGCCACTCCAATATAGCTTTGGTCTTGTGCTTTAGCTTTTGGTACTGCTGAAAGATTATTTTTTTTTCCAGTTTTTGGTCTGAAGCTGATTTTTCTCATAGATTTCCCAGACATTTGCTCCATACTGTATATATCCCCATCACTTTTGACAAGCTTCCCAGATCCTGCTGATAAGAATCAGCACTACTGTATAACATAACGTTGCTACCACCATGCTTGACAGCAGCGATGCAGTTATTTGAGTGACACTATGTAGGATTTGTCTCAAATGTCATGCTTTGAATTTAGATCAAACAGTTTTTGTCTTTTTCTTTGAATGTGTGGAGTAAACTGTGTGTATAATACAAATTAATTGCTCTATTAATGTGCAAGTAAGAATACATCTGCAAGGCACTGTAATACAGGTCACTTACCATGCTGGGTGACAATGACAGTTGAACGGTCCTAAAAATAATATATACAAATATATAAGACTAGAACAAAAATAATTGATTACTATGGTCCTCTTAGCCACAAAAGTTAATTTCTAAAAATTGACTTCAGTTTAGAATTTACAGTATAATAAAAAATATGTGCAAAAGAAACAAAAGAAAAAGAGACAATTTTATTATACAGGTGGGTAGCTGTGTCAGCATGTGTAGGCTACAAAGGAACAAGTAATAGGTTTATTCCATGCTGAAAAAAAGGGAGAAAGTTTCAGCTGTGAAGCCTTCTTCAGGTGTGAGGATAATTTTATTACACTGTATATATAAAGACAGGTGGGTAGCTGCGTCAGCATGCGTAGGCTGCAAAGGAACAAGTAATAGGTTTATTCCATGCTGAAAAAAAGAAGAAAGAGAACACAACGTTTGCCGTGGAGCCTTCTTCAGGTGTCGCACCTGAAGAAGGCTCCCCGGCCGAAACGTTGTGTTCTCTTTCTTCTTTTTTTCAGCATGGAATAAACCTATTACTTGTTCATATATAAAGACAGTTTAAATTCTTGTCCTATTTAGATCATAGCATAGTGACAAATATGATTGAAAGGATACACTGATCAGGGCAAATACTACAGGATTGTTTAGATTTTTTTTATTACTTTTTAGGGAAACCATATGCTAGCATTCCAATTTTAAAGGTTGTCTGACAATCCAAACAACCCTCCCCTGTAATAAAGTTCCTCCAGGGGTAGGAGAGCATGAAAGTGCAAGGAGCTGTAAGTGCAGGAAGCTTAATTTCAGAGTACTATCAAGTCTTACAGCAAGTAAGACTATCAAGTCTTAGCTACTGCCATCAAACTCCAAGCAGGTTCCCCACACTGCATCTAATTTTCAGCTGACAATTGTTAGAGACATTTTGGTGGCATCTAGTGGCAGGTTAGCTGCTACTGCAGTCCCTCCACAGATTGACCTGCCACACTTCTGAAGTGCGTCCATGCAGTTTTGTAACTTGTTCTGCTTCTCATCATCAGGAACTGGGAAATATGTCAAGACTGATGGGAACATTGAGGACTCAAATTATTAGCAAACCTTAGAGAAAAATAAGCTTCAGACCTAAAACTGGGACAAAATTTCACCATTCTGCAGGACAATAATTTAAAACACAAGGCCAAAGCTTCGCTGGAGTGGTTTAAGAATAAGAAAATTAATATCCTGGAGTGACTCAAAGCCCTGACATGAATCTTATTGAGAATCTATGGAAAGACTTGAAAACAGCTGTTGAAAAGTGTTCCACAAGCAACCTGAGAGAGCCTGAGCAAATATACAAGGAATGGTAAAAAATCGCATCAAAACTGTGTGCAGTTTGTAGAGATTTAACCCTAAATGACTTGCAGCTGTAACTGCTGCCAAACACACTGTACTTCCAACACATATTATAATGTCTGAAGCCTTACGCAATACTGTAGATATATAATTAATGATTTTAATTGCTTTTGTCTTTAGTTTATGCTAAAATAAATTTAACATTTACTTACCTTTACAACTTTTCAGTTTGAGCACATACGGTGGGTTTCAAATAAAATATTGTTTTAAAAACATCTGTGCACATCATTTTGAAACTTAATAATATACTTAATAAAAAGTACAGGGCATAAAAAAACCCAAATATATTTGTGTATGTTTTTAGAAAAAATTGCCTCTGATTGTTGCAATTATACTATATTCGCCTCATTGAGAGCTTACTGGGTGCTAATGATTAGATCATCTAACCTGTTGAATGGCAAGCTTGAATAAATGCAAAGAAAGAAAAATGCCAAATTGAAATAATACTGTATGCCCTGATTAATATGAGGACGGTGTCCTCATGCCAATCACATGTGGCTAAGATTGATGCATCTTATGCATGCTCCATATTTGAATAATATGGGTGAATTTTGTACTGCCATTTCATAAATTTACTGCCTCATAAAAAGTAGATCACTACAACCTACAAAGCAGCAGCTCAGTAGTGAGGAAACAAAAAAACAGATTTTTTTTTGCTGGCCAGACAACTACACTGTGCAAAAGGACTATGCTCACCAATGTTCACCAACACAAGAGAATGAGCTGATGGACTGGGCAGGAGTGCTACAGAACTCCACATGCAGTGATGAATGGCATCTTGGTGCCATGCAGATGAAGTCCTGGGACCACGCTTTCTGCCCTTCCTGCATGCATAACTGTAGCTTTCTTTACAGATAAGAATGTGACAGTTACGCCATGGATGTCATCCTCATTAGATGTGAGTTCTATTAAGCATTTGCAGGATGGACTGGAATGACATGTTGGCTCTGAGACCAGTGAACTGTCACTCTTTGTCCACAACACCATCTGCATCTGCAGCCTGATGCAAAGCATGTGTTGAATTTCTGACATACTTTATAGCTTGTATAGTTACCAATCATTTTACGGGAATAAGCACACACTACTAACATGGGAATTTTACAGCAGATGATGTTACTGATGATGGAAAACATTAATCTAAAGAATTTAGCTATGTCATGTCTGTTCAATAAAATATTAGTGAGCTCATTAAGAAAGTATTCAGGTAGGTTACATCACTCATCACCAATTTATGAACACCTGGCTGCAGTATTCCCGCACTGAGAAATTACCACACTTATTTGAAAAGCATTTCAGTGTTATACATTTGATTGGAAGGTATTTGGTGATGTTATTTGTGCACATTAGCAATACATACATCCATTTTCTAGCCATTTTATTCACTACAATGCCACTGGTAGCTGGAGCCTATCCCAGAAAGCAACAGACAACATGGAGAGTTACACCCTAGAAGAGATGCCAGTCTATCACAGGGCACACACAGACACAAACACGCACATACTCACACCAGGGCCAGATTTCCCAGAAGCCAGTTAACCTACTAGTATGTCTGCACTGTGGATGGAAACTGCAGCACCATGCAAACACAGGGAGAACATACAAACTCCAAGCAGTTAGAACCCCAGGTCTGGAACTGAACCCAGAGTCCCAGTGCTGCAAGGAAGTAATGCTAAGCACCACGTAATCATAATTGTAATCAGTCATTAACATTAAATGTAAATGACTCAGAAAATGAAACCATGTGGTAATATTTCCACATGCTGTGTTCCATGTGTTAGTCAAGCAGTGTGAGTGAAATCTTGAACGGTGCTCAATACATACAGGATTAGTGCTTGCCACATAAAAAAAAACTGAACAAGGCACAAACTGTGCACAAGAGCACACAATTCAGTTCATCTTAAAACTATCAAGTGAAGTGTTTTAGTAAGATTGTAATTATGTTTGAAGCTCTGTAACATACTACCTTAAGAAAATGATTCAAAAAAAAATCTTACATTGGGATCTGTAAGCTTGGATATATCTGGGTAGAGATAGAACTTCACTCCTTCCAAAGATCCAGGCAATGTTATGCCCCGTATGAACAGAATGAACAGCATGAGGTAGGGGAAGGTTGCAGTGAAGTAGACCACCTGAAAGGCACAAAGAGTTGTCATGTTATTGAAATGTAACATAGAAATCACATTACATGGATGGAAACTATTTCTCAATTGTATTTATAGTCAGATTTGCAATTGGTTTTTAAAGACATCCTTGTTGACTGGTTTATTTAATTTACATGTAATATAATTTCTACGTTTTCTACCATACTTCAGTACAGTATTGTCTCAGTGAACTGAGCTCTCGATGGTACTCACTATGAAATAATCTCTATAAAATGAAAAACAATTAAATCAGCTTAATGGGCTGCTGAAAGTTAGTCAACCAACTAGGAGTATAAAAAAATAACTTGCAATATTTGTACATTACTTCAATAGAAATTACAGTATATTTACACAGGTTTTGAGATAGCATGTAAAATCAAGCTGTAAAAAGCTACCAAGACATGTTATTGAAGCAAGTACCATAGCTTCCTTCAAGAAACTGCTGCATGAGTTCTGTGGATCTCACTTAGTCACAAACTACAGTACCAAAAGGACTAAATGGGTCAAATGGCTTCTTCTAGACTATGAAGAAAGATGTGAAGACGGGGGTTTGAATTTAATCCTCTCTGTATGAGGTTTAGACTTCTAAGTCACAAGCTGGGGCAGGAAAGGGGGTTAACTGATAAGGATTGCAGATGCAAGCTAGGAACCCCCCTGGGTGTAATCTTAAACTGACCATTTGGCCAGGACATCGTAAACTGGCCAAATACCATGAACCCCCCCTCTTTACCATCAGACCGAGTGACGTCAGAAACGGAGAAGAAGACACTATATAACCCAAAAGTTTGTACCAGTACGGGGAACAATACTTCGGTTTTGTTGTTTCTTATGGGAAACAAGACTTCGGCTTTATTGTTCCTTGCATGCAATAAACTCATCTGTTTTACTTCATTTCGGGATCAAGAACCTTATTCCTTCTGTTACAACAACTATAATCATCATGTAACAATGGGACTGATAGGACTGTCAAAGGCTGAAAGGCTGAAAGAAGAATAAAAGATATTTGGAAAAATAATAAAAGGTAATAATAATCTTTTGTGTTTTATTTTTGTTTTGCCTTTTTGTGCTAATTTATTATTTTGGGCTCTTGGAAACCCTCCTATAAAACCATAGTAAGGAAACCCTAGATGTTAACAAAGTGTCTCAAAACTGTTTGCACTGCAAATTGCAGCAACGTACACCACAAATGAATATGCTCTGAGTCCAGTGAGATTCAATGTGAGAAAGTAGCAATTAGAAAAATAGATTTAGTTTGCTCACTGAACTACTGCATACAAGTTTTAGGAGATGTGGGCAAAACTGGATGACGTTGTATGGTCCAGTTGAACGACTCTGAGAAAGGACAATGGCATGGCACTAGCCCATTCTGTGATGGTTGCATTTTACGTGAAATAAAACTAATTAAAACTAATCTAATTATTACAAATAATGCTAAATGCAGAATGTAAATGCACAGCTGTAAGTAAACAGATGCACCACGGTCATGCTGTTAGAACAGATGTACTGTACTATATTGGAGTCTTCAATTTTTTTTATACATTACTGAACTGGGGTTGAAAGTTACAGTTGCTAGGGGTCCAGTGAAAAGTCTCAGAGGAACATAAGTGGTCCCCAAGCTGAAAGCCTATGTTCTCAACAGCCTACTGTATGTTTTTCATGTTTTTGCTATTCGCAAACATTGCTGATTATCCAAACCTTTTTATTTCATTTCTGCGCAGTATTTGTAAACAAAGTACAGTAAAAGGCCCCCACCTTGCCAGTCGATTTTACTCCTTTCCAGATGCAGAAGTAGCACACAATCCAGGCCAGCAGAAGGCAGAATGCCAGGTCCACTCGCAGACTGCCGATGTGATCCAGTCCTTCTGACATCCCTAAAACTCTCCTCCTGCAAAATCAAAGCCATGCTGTTGAAGATAATTCCCTGACGATTTTCAAAAAACAGCTGGAAGAGTAACTACAGTTCATTAACATTAGTTTAGTTACAGTAAAATGTAAAAAACGAGCAACATACAATAGCTTAGCAGCCTCATCACTTTTGGCAACATTTTTTCCAAATATTTTGTTTTATACTCTTGGAATTGACAATTGCATTTCTCCAAACTTCCTACCGTTCGTCTTTTTACATGCCACTGTCCTGGATGGCCGATGCCAATTGGAGGAAAGGAATGAAGGTCATGGAAGGTCACAGGGCTTCCTATCTCTGGAATCCAAGAAACCTTGGCCAATTAATTCTGCTCCTATACTCCGTGGTACTGAAATAATTGTGCTCCAGTGCTTGAGGAATCCCAGGTTCAAAACTTGCCTGAAGCACGGAGTTCAACCTGCACTCAGGCAAGTGTCTTTACTGGTGGAGACAAGACCTTGGTTTTGCAATATTTCACAATTGGTTTTAATCAGTTTCAAGACTTGCCTGCTATTGTATGATGGATTTACTTACTTAGCATTAACATCAAATGGTGCTGTTTATTTAACAAATTCATGCTGCTAGGTATGCAGAATGTTGAACAGCAGATGGCTTGAACAGCACAATATGCATCACAACACCCATTACAGCCTCCACATACATTGTATTTCACATTGTATTTCAGGTCTGTCGTTTACATACCCACATACCCATAAATGGCTTCTGAGTATGCATATTATTTTCTATATTATTTTATATATACTGTATGGTAAGCCTGTATAATGATCCACTGCTTCCAGGACAATGCTTGTCCTTCATACTGCCAAGTTCTATGTTTTTTTCTGGTTTGAATGATACTGCTGATTACTGAAGCACATCATCTCATTCTCCAGGTAGCTTATCTCACAGATAGAGCACCTTAAATCTTGCCAATGCAAACCAGATGATCATCATTATTTAGTTGGTGTGTTTTTGCAATAATTAAAATCATGTCAGTGGAAGTAGTTATTTTATATTGAATGATATTTTATTAAATCAATGAACTCACGCAGGTCATATGATCACATGATTTTCATTAATTTTCAGAAGTGTCTAATGTGTGAAGAATTGTGGCTTTTCAAGATCTTTTCAAAATCTAAATTCAAGTGCACACGTAGCACACAATTCTGGCATGTATATACCTATAGTATAATCAACTTAAGGAATGACTAAAAAGATCTGTATACTCACGTGTACTCAGTTACTCTCAGATAAAGAATAAAGCACAATCACTAAAAATGCATCAGAAAACGTCTAGTCATAAAAACTAATAACCACTTGGGTAACCTAAAGACCAAAATAATGAGCTTCAGAACTTGTACGGTGAGCTACAGAACACTATTTCAATTTTGTGTGATTGCCATGGTATTTAGAAACCAGATGCTTCATTTCCCTAGTTTAGCTTGGTTTTAAACTGGGAGAAATATATCAGAACAGTCACATATGGCATCCTTGGATTCAGTCACAGTGACTGTGTCTAATTTTGTCTACATCCGTTACCAAAAACATTTAAGCAGTCCAGAGGATATTTATATTTTCTTTTTGGGAGGAAGGAGGGTTATGTTCACGGTAATCTTGTATGAAGCTTATACAATGTTTTATGTAAGACCTTTATGGAGAAAACATTGGCTTAGTCAAAGTAAGCACTGCAGCATTATATTTTAAGGCTTAGAAATTCTTACATACTGTATATCTTTTGTAGTTGCAGATTGTCCTGGAAACCCACAGCATATTGAAATGGCTTTAAAGGTCAGGACAGCAACAACCCTAACATTGATCCTCAAGCCTTCTTGGCAACCAATGAAAGAATGGTGCATGTAAAATATGAAGGGGGAGGCAAATGCAAGATTCCCTCTAATAGTAAAGTTTTGACCTAAATGATCAATAACCCTGGTACAGATTAGCGCTTTTGATTAAATTATTTTTGAATGATGCTGACATGCAACTCTCTGTTAAGCATTAAGTCCTGACTTTCTACAAACCAGGATATAAAAGACTGGGCTCATCTTTGATACCTCCATTAATGAAATCCCCAGCTTCACTGCCTCCTCCACTCTACCATCCCAAGAAAGACATCTTGACAATCACAAACCATGATCAGTTGATGCACAAGTTGATGAAAAACAATGGAAAGTCGGCCTAAGACTTTCTCTGCAACAAGAGGTTTTGCACTAGCTATGTTGATTGTAAATTTGCCTGATCAACAAAATTAATTCAATTGAATTTTTGAATATGTATATTCAACACAGCAGCTAAAACATGGGTGATGGGACCGAGTTTCGTCCCACCTACGTTTCTTCAGCAGAAAGACCCAAGTTAGATCTTGTGCCCAAACTCTAGGAAATCTGAGCATAGTTTCACACTAGTAAGGAACTCATTCCTTTTCCTTTTTCCTGAGCCACACTTTGACTTCCACATCAATTGGTCTCTTGTTTAGAACAATTATTATATTCAACGAGGTAGCTGCATCAGAATGCATAGGTTGCAAAGGAACAAGTAAAGGTTTACTGTATTCCATGCTGAAAAGTGAAAATGGAAAAAAGTTTCGGCTGTGAAGTCTTCTTCAGGTGTGTCACCCGAAGTGTAGTAATTTGGGAAGGATAAAAGGAGTAAAGTTTCCTTCTTCTCTTGTGTTTCCTTCTTCTCTTTTCAGCATGGAATAAACCTTAACTTGTTCCAATTGGTATATTGTTCTGCACTACTGCACCACACTCACTGGTACCTTTTATTCATCACTAAAGTGGCCTTGGCCAGACTGCATGCAAGTCCACTTCAGGGGACTTAGTCAAGACACCAAATGCAATTTCAATGTCTTTTCATGAAGACATTCATGTTGGTGGTGGTAGGGAGGTGGGGTGGTAGGGTGGTGGAATGGAGGGGAGTCCTCATTACCTCAAAAATGTTTCTCTCTTAATAACCAGGGAAATTGTCAAAGGCATTTGAATGTATTTCTGCCAGAAATGGTACAGTACATCAAAATGGCACCGGTAACATTTAACCATATTCTAAAACATACATGAATAAAGTTTGATTCTCAGTTCTTATTTTGTGGTGTTATACTGTTTATTTGATTATATCTTTTAATGAAGCAAGAGTATGCGTACAGTCCTTGTTATACTGTAACTAACTTTTTAGTATTAGAATATTCAGTCCTGTTAAATTCTGTCCTCTAACCTCCAAATGTATTCATACTGTACCATCGATGAACTGTAACCAAAAGTTGATTTTAGAAAGAGTAAGTACATTAAGTGATACAGTAAGTGAAGACAAAATATTCAATTTTGTCTTCAATCACTTACTGTATCGATAAAAATGTGTTCAGAAAAGTGAATCTGAAAACCTAACCCAGACCCATGGATAACAACTGGGAACCCTCTAAAAACTCTGCGATCTTCAGGTTACAGGACCTTTGAGATTAATAAAGGTAGTCTTTGAAGCTGGCCTTATGAATCAGGGTTTGTGGCAGAGTGCCACAATACATCAAAAAAGGTAAATGAATTTTCCTAGTAGCAATTACACAGGAAAGAATAGCACCCTTTCCCTAAAAAAAATAGAAATGGAATTTTGCTTGAGAAGTGTTTTCCAGCCTGTTGTCCTGTTATTCTTATTAGAATGTACAAGACGGATATTCAAGTTCATCATGGTATTTTATCCCACAGTCTCATTCCTTCTGCTAAGAAGCTTGAACTTTGTTTTTCCACACGATAAGCAGCTGAGAAAATCCTCCAAATATACTTCCAAGTGTTTAGGGAACATAAAATCAGCATTCTTGATTGTCCACCATCTCCAGGCCTCAATTCAATAAAAAAAATGTGGTTTGAACTGAAGAAATTAGTTCAAGGTACAAGCTGTATAACCTGAAATGGATGGAGAAATTCTTCCCGCATAGCAGAATATAAACAATAATTCCTATTCACAGTCTTCATTAATCACCATTTCTATGATACCAAAGCCAAAAGAGGATGAATGAAATACTCTTCGCTATTCTATTATATTATTATATTTTGATATACAGTATACCATATACAGGTATAGCTCATTTTACATGTAAAATATAACAAATGTAATTATTTTGGCCCCTTTTTTTATACAATGTCCAATACAGATCCATAAGGACCAGCTTTCAGTTACATTTTCTCAAGAGCATGAAAAAATTTGAGCCCATCTCTATAATATAATTTAATATGCTATTAGTGTTTTGTGATAGAGCATATATTTGGTAAATTTGTTATGTAACTCTTTATGTAATACCTTATGTAATGTAAATCAATTCAATGTAAGAACGCCAGACAATAAAAGGGAAATGGCTGATGTTTTAGAGAAAAAAAATGGTTGATGTACTAAATCAGTGTTTCACTCAGGTTTTCACTAAGGAAGAAGTCAGCAACATGTCCCAGGCAGCAGAAGGTCAAATTTCCATAACTAGCAGCAATTTCAACCTGTAACTCACAACGACAACCCACTGAAGCTAAGCAGGTGTGAGCCTGGCCAGTACCTGGGAAAAAGTAATGTTGCTGCTGCAAGATGTATTAGAGGGGCCAGCAGGGGGCGCTCACCCTGCAGTCTGTGTGGTTCCTAATACCCCAGTATAGTGACTTTGGATGAGAGGTAAAACTGAGGTCCTGATTCTCTGTGGTCATTAAAAATCCCAGGGTGTTTCTCAAAAAGAGTAGAGGTGTTACCCCGTTGACCGGGCCAAATTTCCCATTGGCCTTTACCGATTATGGTCTCCTAATTGGCTTCATCACTCTGTTCTCCTCCCAACTGAGGAGATGATGTGTGGTGAGCATACTGTACACACTATGGATCCCAGGTGTATGCTGCACATTGGTGGTGGTGGAGGGGAGTCCCCATTACCTGTAAAATGCTTTCAGTGTACGGTCCAGATAAGTGCTACTGTATATACTGTAAGTGAAGGGAATGTATTATTATTATAAAATTTCTGTATTCAACAAGTTCAAGGTTTTTCATGCAAATGTAAAAACATACAGTAATATCCAAAATGGGAAATGTTGATCTAGAATAGGCTATTTATGAAAAATGTGTAGGTCTTTCCTTAACTTAGCACATTCACTGTACATCTTCTAGAGAAGCAATTAAAAAGACACTTTAAGGATATATTGTATAGTTAGAAGCTAGAATTTAAATCATTGAATGTTACTAGTAAGGCCTCATTTATTGTGATTTACCATTAGCATTACCACTACCATTTTGAGCATATAGTAATACTATATGTATTCAAATTAACTATGTACAGTGTATACCTAAAGGCAAACAGTGAGAAAACAGGA